TTATTGGGATATTGTAAACACATTTTTCAAAACAGATCCAAAAGGACAGAAATACAGTGGTGGAAATAGGAATGCACAACAAGTATGTAATTTTGAACTGGTTTCATTGCTTAATTATGTCTTGATTGACACAGAGGACTTATTTTATTGTGCCCAAAGTTTCTCAGGCATGGGTACTAGAAAACACTCAAAGCCAGCTATATATAAAGAAATAGGCTAAAACCTGCGGTCTTCATTGGTGTGAACATTATGCTAACAGAAACCTGGCAGGCCCAAAGAAGTAATGCATGTATACCTCACCCTTATTTTTCACTTTCTAATGAACGATGACCACAGTTATCAATGGGATATTGTTTCTATTTTGAATGTAAGTGAAATGGTTTCAGCGATAGTCTTACAAGTGGTTTAAATGTGAACACCTTTTATTTTTATTTTTTTTATTTCTTTTACTATGGAAAGTAATATAAATTAAATTGCATTTCATGTGCTGCATTTCAACATGCATTTTAAACAAATATACATAGTATATTTATATACTATATATGAAATCTAAATAATGTATATAACTATATATTGTAAATTGAATATTGAATGCAGAAAGTCCTCTGTTTGCAAATAAGAAGGCAATGTAGCGTAATACAGAGGCTAATAACTACTAGCTTTTACCTACCATTTCTGTTAATGTATAAACTGCTAGAACATGTTAGAACCCTTCAGAATTTTAAACACAATTAAATGCAGTATATCAGAAAAAGTCTGATATATTATCCGATATAAGTCTGATATATGGCACAAAATCATTGTGGAAATTTCACTTTACAGTGTTAGAAGCTGTGATATCTAATAAAACCTTTTCTCGGGTGAGTATATGCAATACTGTGCAATAAAATAGCATACATAATTTGAATTATTTTAACAGCATATGAACTGAAAATAAGGGAAATACTGTATTCTATCATTTTAATTGAATTACTATAAAGTTGATTATAAATTATACAATTGATTTAAATTGAAGTAATTTTGTAACAGATCTATAGGCATTCAGTTAAAAGAGTGTATACTCCAAAGTCTATCTTATACACCTGCCAAAGACAACAGATGACTTATTCGTGCCGTCAACAGGTTTAAAGACATCTGGCGTTAGTTGGGAGAGCACGGCCTCATACGCCTTCTCATATCCAAGATATTTTCATTCAGAAGACAAAAACAAATAATACCTGGCTTTTTATTGTGGTTTTTTAACCAGACAATCGGCAGTACCACTGCAGGAAAATTGATGTTTAGTCTCATTCTTCCAACACGGGTACAGAAATCTTTAACAGTGGCACTCAATCTACCTCCTTGAGGGAAATGTGCATTTCCAGCCAGACGCCCCAAAAGGAGTCAGCAGACCGAATCTCAGCCACTATAGTACCCTGAGTTGCCTTTTCCTTGTTATTCATTCCTTTTTAGAGTCAACTGTTTAGAGAACAATTAAATACTCCTTTTGCTCTTGATTTATTAACTGCTAATTATCTACTACTGCATAAAAAATAACACCTTCCCCATTTTGTGAAATTAAGTGTTTTTAATTTATGTCATGTTGCTTTATGCCCTGTTTTACTGTAATTTAACAGTTGTAATCTTATACATAGATTTTACATATTCCCACATGATCACTAAAATAGCTCTTAATATAGCACACAGGCAATTCAAACAATGTCCTATATTAAAAAAATGGGTTATTCTTTAATTCACTAGCTGACCGTGATACATTGTGTGGAAGTCTTAAAGACCACAGGGCTCTCATGCCCTATTTCTCTCTTTTTTTAGAACCTGGTCTGTAGGAAAAAGTAAATTATGTCAATAGTAAATCATACTGTATTTGTCCCAGAAATCTGGTACCTCAGAAATACTTTGAATTATCTTTCCAAGAAACCCAGAAGCATTTGTTGTATTTTTAACACTGTGCGTTTCAAACGTATACTGTAGATATGTTTTTACAAAGAGCACCTCATGC